CAAAAGTCAATAATCTTATGAAATAAGATGCCATAAAACTTATTCCTTTATGTGATGCTTGGGAAATAACTAAGACACTTGTGTTTCTCTAGTAAGTAGACGATCATCGTGTTTAATATCCATAGATATTTTAACTAGTGCCAATGCACTTCAGTTACTAGTTTGACGCAAATACCCCATGTACTCACGAGAAGTAAGTTACTTGGGTATGCATTTTTCAATGCAGAATTTCAGATCTCATTCTAAGTACTCGAGGTTACTATATGTAGGATAGAGGGATGGGAGTCTTGAGATGCAGTAAACCCTTCAACCACACCATGATTCCTACCTCAACATATGTGTTTAGTGTTTTCATATGCATAGGTCTCTTCCTACTAGCATACTTATATAGTGAATGCACGTAGTATAGTAGAGTTATTTTTGTGGCACTGAGCTTGTGAGTTCATTGTTCAAAATTTATTTCCAAGCGCTGTTTCATTAGAGATCTCTCAATGAGCTTCTAGTTGATTTGTGATTCTAGATTTGATGAGGCATCAGAGGACTTATTTAGTCTATTTTAGAGGGCATATACTATTCAAAGACCTTATTGTATTTGAGTCATAACTCTATTTTGATACACGTCTTAAGTTATTATTTTAGGATGTATTAGGAGCTCTCATTGTTTTGTAAACTTAATTACTTATGTTTCCATGGACGATTTCATTTGATAGTTTTTTTATGATAATTACAATGTTGTTTTAAAGAAACTTTGGGTTAGCCACTTTGATGGTTTCGTGTAATACTCTAGTCCATCAATCTTCGGGTCAGAACATATTAGAGTGTTACATTTAGTAGTATCAGAGTGTTAGATTTAGTCATTCCCAGGACCTGTTGGTTAAGTTAGTAAGCATCTATGTGTGTACATACTTCTAGAATGTCAAGAGTACTTATAGAATCATAGAAAATTAATGGTCAATAATCCAACCCTTAGTAATGAGGGCAGAGATAAGAGTCGCGTCTTTTTAGCTGGCAAAATCGGTGATGATTTTGTCCCAGATTTAGAGGATTTTAAGGTTCCTAGTGACATAAGAGTCGACGAGGATACCTTCTTTAGGGATCTCACTTTAGCACTTAGACACATTGTTCATGCTATCTCTAGAGCACCAGTTGTTCAACATACTCCACCAGCACTGCTAGTTACACCTATTATAACACTACAAGAGTCTCTGATCAAGAGGCTTCGTTGATATAAGGCCACAAACTTTTTTTAGTTTGGGGGATAACAACACCATCGCTGTAGATCAATGGCTTCGTGAGACATTTTTCACTATTTGTTAGTTGCATCTTACCCTTGAGTGTAAGCTTGAGTGCATCATCATTTTATTAAAGGGTGATGGCATATATTGATGAGAACCATAAAGTTAGCTTTGGAGCTAAAGAGAATACGTGGGAGTCCTTCTTATCTGAGTTATGATAGAAGTATATCAGACAAGCTCATACATATAACTTAAGAGATTAGTTCATGTATCTGGTTTACGGTCACCAGTCAATGTATGAGTAAGAGTGGAACTTCCTCTTTTTGAGTTGGTATGGAATTGAGTTGGTGGTAGTTGAACACATGATCCATCCACTCTTATATTTATCATGATCTTATCCAATAGAGAAATATCCAGTAGAGGACTTAAAGATATGAGTCTGAGTATCGAGTCCCATAAAATTATTGTTCTTATATACAAGGATCATTGTCGATGTCCAATAGAAATATCCACAGACATGATTATGTGGATGGAATGGTTGGTTATCTGAGCATAATGATAGTTTGAGCTGCAAGACTATGTAACTGAAACTTAGAAGGGTATATGGTACCAAACTAGTAATGACCAACGAGAGATTGTGGTGTTCCTCAAAATCATTTAGCTCAAAAGTTGATTTTATAAGTTTGTGAAGCCTTCTTGGCATACGTGGTTGATATTAGAATTTTGGTTCTCAAACTCGAGAATATTCATACCATACAATAATTTTCTAATGTAATACCCCAAAATTTTGGTTAGTGTCCAAAATGTAAATTTTTTAAAGTTTGATGGCCAAAGTAGAAAATCGAGAAAAGTTTAAAGACCTAAGTGGAAATTTTCCCCAAAAAAATTTATTCCATAAATGGATTGGTTAGTGAACAAAGTGTATTTTTTAAAGTTAAGTGGCTAAAGTATAAATTTTGGAAAAGTTTATAGACCAAAGTGTAATTTTAAAAAGTTATGTGATCCGACCCTGTAAATGAATAGTTTACCCCCAGGAATGACGTTTCTATGGAAATCAAATTTTTTCTTACGGATTTGGTATTAAAAGCTATAAAGTAATAAAGTCCAGTAAATAATTCGGTAAATCGAATCGAATATAATTTTTTGGAAAATTTGAAGGTTGATAAATTAAGCTTAGAAATATAGTTTCTATATTTTAAAATGATGGAAAATAATATGTACCATTGAATTTGAGGATTTAATTCCATGTTAAATTTGGATCGTTGGATTAAAGTGGTAAGATTGTAATTTTGGGAAATTGAAAGGGAAAAATAGTAAAGTGGGAAATATTTTGTTCATCTTTAACTTTTGAAAGATGATAAGGTTGAGGTGTCTTGGTTTTATGGTAAATATGAAGTTTCATTAAGGGTAATTTGGTCTTTTCTCAATTAAAAGAATAAAATATTCATTTAAGCTAAATTAAATGTTAATTAACATGAAATTTACGTAACATTTTATGAAACATTTTTTCATCTTCTTGTCCAAGCCGTGAGCTCGTCCCAAAGGTAAGAAAAAATTTTGTTTTTAATTTTGGAGCAATTTCCTTTGGGGTTTAAGTTATGACGTGAAATAGGAAATTGTTCTACACGGAAAAACGCTATCTTTTGATTCCATTTATGCTTGCTAATCTTTCTTGATTTCAAAGATCCTAAATTATAGGGTTTGTGTTCACATTAGGGTTTATGAATTTGATGATGAATCTTGATGTTTTTGAGGTAGTAGATTCATTTCCAAGCTTGTATGATGATTAAAGCATGTTCAATCTTTCTAGAAATGTTTCTTTGATTTTCAGCCAAATTATAAGTTGGGGAAACTTTGTGTTTTGATGAAATTTGATTAGGTCTTTGATCGTATAGATGATTTAAGGTTGGATGGAAGTTTATTTCATGTTTGAATCGAATCAAAACCGAGAAAAATCATGAAAAACCCCTAGTTTTGGAACTTTGAACCATTCAGCTTTGGTCTTAAAGGACGAGGAAATTCTGCAAAAAAAAACCTTAGGAAACTTTGGGGACCATTCTATAATTTTTTTGAAAAATTAGGGGATCAAATTGACAATTTTAGAAAAGTTGTGGATTGTTTTGTATTTTTTAATAGTTGATGTGATATTCTTGAAATTAATGTTTGAGTGTTGAAATTAAAGTTAGGATTAGAAATTTGATTATTTTGGAAAGATTGTAAAAGTTGAGGTTGAAATCACAAATATGAAAAGGTTATGAGTTTAAGTGAAAATATATTGTGAAGTTGGGATGAAAAGGAACTTGAGTGGTCAATTAGAATTATTAAGGTCAACATTTATGTTGTGACATGGAAATTATATCGAATAAGCATTGGAAGATTTATTAAGAATTTATTTTCCAAAGTAAGCATATGTTAGTAGGATTTTAACATTTAGTTTGAATTTGTATATGTTTGGTAATGATGTTCATAGAGATTGAGCGCTTGAATCAAGATCAAATATTATTAAAGCTAAGGAGAAGCTTAAGGATAAAATGGGAAATTCCAAGGAATGTTGCAAGCTAAGGACACCAGGTGAGTGCAAATTTAATTTGTACTTATATTATCGAACAAACATTAGCTTGCGATGAGCTAGTGACGGAGTTACAATGGTAAGGACTGACTCATAAAACGGTATGTTATTTGTGATGCATACATATATGTGCATTTGGTGAGATAATAGAATTATTAAACAAGTTGAAAATGCAAATTGATGAAACCTGATTGGATTTTATGTTTTGGAGGCTTATTTTTATACTGTTGGATTCTTATTTCAGTCTACTTTTGTTTAGAACAAACAGAAATTGATTTCAATGTATATAAAAAATATGAATTTTTAACCAATGATAGGTCATAAAAAGGTACAACAAATTCTGCTCATAATAGATTCCGTCGGTCAACTTTGAAAATTTATCACAAATTGTACAAATTGAACTAGAATGAGTTCCTTACATGAATAGATTCATATTTGAGTATAGTTTCCATTGGTATAAACAAAATAGTTTGTAAAGGTGTATATTAGTACAAAATAATATTTCTTTAAAGGTAGTGCAAATTGCAAGGATATGAAATTATGACAAATTTTGGGATTTAGTCAAATTAGAAGCAAAGGATCAAGTTAAAGCTTAGTAAGGCTTATATTTTGACTTGAATATAAAGTCTCGAAGTGAGTGCAATGCATGCATAATATTATACACAGATGTTTGTACATCATTGGACAAGACTTGCGATACGTCTACCTTATTTATATTGGCATGATATTTATGTCATATATCATATATTTTACATATTCTAAATATGTAAAAAGTTGAATATAAAATGCATTGATCATTGTTTATTATATATGATGTTTATCATGAATGTATATGATGTTATTGCAAATGTTATTTCGGGTATGAACTGCCCAATGTTAAATTATGATAGTATACTTTGCCATGGATGGAAAAAAATAGACTATATTTCCAAGTAAGTCATTGAGGGACATGGTATAGTTGACTTGATATCCGATTATATCATTTTAATATATGGTAACATGGTTGGAATACAGGTAAAGTGATCATATTACATCGAATATGGTTATTCATTTGCATTGTTTTAAATATCATATGATTGCCTCACTAAGTGTATACTTAGCGTGTGATGTTTTTCACGCGTAGGAAAAAGAGAAGAAAAGGAGTAAGGAGCTGAGCATGACATCAATAACCAAGGAAATATTTACAGGTAACAATGATGACGTCCTACTATGTTTTAAAAGTTCTAGCTGGTATGTATACGAGAATGAAATGTTTTTCAAGTATGGTGTGACCCATTACATCCATGCCAGCTCCGATTCCGTTCAGCCGGCATAGTTTGGATTTGTGGCAGTGACTACAGAAGAAGGAAAGGCTGTTCTTGGAAGGAGAGACATTTTGATTGCTTGGAGGGGAACCATAACTTCTTCCGAGTGGCTTAACAATGTACAAGTTATCAAAAAAATCTGCTTCGTAATTATTCGGGAGACACCGAGTCATTTGTGCACTCCGGATTCCTTTCTCTATATACGGGAACATGGTCGGATTCTGCTGACCAGAAGACGAGTGCCAGAGATCAGGTAGTAATTAATATTTATGACATGTATGTCAAGATTGAGCAGCTAATGATATTGATCTCTTGCGCATACAGGTTCGAGATGCCTTGAGAGGATTTATGAATAAATACCGAGACGAGGAAATAAGCATAACTGTTGTAGGGTTTAGTTTGGGTGGAGCACTGGCGACCCTAAATGCAATGGACATAGTAGCCAATGGATATAATATCACAAATGGTGCAAAGAAGTCACCGTTGCGGTCCTCGAGTCGGAAACGATGGTTTGAAGAATGAATTTAATAGACTCGTTGATCATCCCATCTTAGTTTTCTATGAATTACAAATGTCAATGACCCAATCCATAAGGTGCCTAAATTAGGCTACACTCATTTCGGAAATGAGTGAAAGATTAACTCCAGCAACTCACAGTATTTGAAGTGGAGGTGGTTCGGGAGTTCATCGCATGTTAGCCCAGAGTTTTTTCCGAGTTCAGATGAAATAACTATGGAGGAGGAAATGGCAATAAAAGAAGGGTTGGGTGAACATGTTAGTGCTCACAATATGGACGTGTACCTGCATGGAATTGCAGGGGTACAAGAACAATTGTCTGAATTTTGTCTTCAAGTTGACCATGATATTGCACGTATAAACAAGCATTTGGACCAACTCAAAGATTGTTGCGGAATTCCTACGGTGAGAATCGCAAAAAGATGGTTGAGAGGGACCATGACCGTTGGGTGCTCATAACACCTTAGTACCTTATATATGGAAATAAAAAGCAAATAAACTTGTATATCTTGTGTGAATGGATCTAGGAATTTAAGAAAATGTGTGTGCTTTTAACTATTACTATCCAATAGTAAAGCAAAATGAAAATACGAAATTGGTTCATTTTCTGTTGGATCTCTTTATTCTATAAGATTAATTAACACTTCATTTACTATTAAAAAAATTAACATTTCATTTAAACATCCTCAGAACGAAATTCTAAACCTAAGAGGAGCCAATATCCAAACTCTAACTCTGCAGGATTAAAACATAAAAAAAATAATGATTTAATTGATGGCAATGAACATCATTAAAATATATTTAATTATTGATCGACCCTGTAAATATGGGTTTTTTTAAGTCACGTATATGGCTTTAATAATCAAATCAAATATTAAATTGATAAGGTCTTCGATTCTTAATTAAGCTGCTTTGATCAATGAAGTAATGTTCACTATAAAATGTATATTATAGCAGTTAAAAACGGGTCGCGAGGTGCCCTGAATGCTTCTTTAACCTCGAACGGACCTAGTTTTGGATAATTTTTCGTGTGGCTTTTGTTATAGACATATGCAAAATTTTAGATTAAAATAGGAATTTATAAAATTTTAAAAAATATATAAAAATTTAAACTTTCTAAAACTACAATGACATTCATTAATCTCTCCCTCAATTCATCATTAGATGCTGTGGTTGAGCCGTTAAGAAAGCTGGTCAACAATTAGGTTTGAGATCAAATATCAGCAACTGATATTTTCAGTTTATATTTTGCATTTCACATTTATAATAAGATGAATAAGATATCTCTCAATCAAGAAATTATTAAATGAACTCAGTTCATCATGTCATTTGTTGTTCAGTCAATAAAATCTTTTCTTCTCAGAATAATTTTCAAATAATCATCAACTCCATATTTACATATAAAAAATATGAAGTTTTGCCTTGAAAAAAATAGATAAATAAATCTTATTAACTAAAACTGACGTGGTGAGCCAAACACATATAATAATTATTTCTCTTGAACATTGATATATAGGTCTTCCCAGCCCTACGATGAGCGTGGTTTGCGTTAGACAATTAAATAGAGGACGGTTATTGGACCACTGCATTAAATGGATATTTAGTTATTAAGTTGTTATATCTAGTACTATAAGTTTGTTGGGCTTAGATAATTAGAGATATATGAGTTAGAAGATTCTACAGTGTACGTTTTATACTGCAACGTATATTAAAGTGATGTATCGAAACACACCATAAGTAAATTTATTCTTATTTTGTAAATATTAAAAAGTATAGAGATTTTTTTAAATTAATCATTAATTAAAATTTAATTTTACTTTTAATAGAATTATAATTAAGTTATGATTTTTTAATTAAAAATAATAATTACTTTAAGTAAAATTAATTTTTTTTAGAATTAGAATTTATATATTATTTAAGTTAAGAATGCTATCAACAATAGTCACCGCTGCAGACGTTAACTTGCCAGAAAACACGCCGAAAATTTGTCGGAAAATATTATATCACAAACGGAAGCATTAATGCCTTTGATGATGGCCAACTACGACAACAATTCTCTGACGATGGCCAACTACGACCGTAGACAAATAGATATATCAACCCCTAAGAATCAAACCAACAACTCCACCACAACAGTAAACCAATGGTTGAAGAGGACAATATTGGGTCCCCTAGAATTTGATTTCGACTACGGTGGCACTGTAACACCCTAAATTCGATTAGGCCTAAAATGCCACACTAGGCTACCAAGGCAACCCTCAAAACCTATTCATTTTCTTTTCAAATATGCTAAATGGTATTGATATGATCACCAATAGCAAAGACCCAGAAAAGTACCCAAGGGGCCCCATCACACGAGCAAGGGCTAAGGAGTTTCAAGCAACCATGGAGAGTATGTTTACATCAAGTTTGGGACTGTTAGAGTATGCTCAAAGACCAATCATATGATGATTGTAATAATAATTTTATTTACCGATTTTATTGAATAAAGGCATTGCTGCTTTTATTTTCATTTATATATATGTGTTTAACATAAACTGGAAGATAATAAAGTCCATATAATGACATAATTGTTATTATTAAAAGATCCCTAGTCAAGTATTATTATGGGCATGAACAATAATAATACGCTTAAGACTAACATGTTATTGATTGATGACAATGAGTTGTCGTTGACATAGAGATGTCAAAATTGATACATGATTATATTGTTAGAGAACAATGTATTGGATTGACCGACCATGAGCATATGTCTTAGATTATTATGTGACAGTCATAACATTGCTCATGGTGATGACTATATGTATGATCCTCAGACTTGAGATCAATACTATCCCAACATATATTGTTGTATGCTTTGATGCAGCTAAACAAGCTCCGTAACTGGTTGCTCTATAAAGACTGTTATTGAATATATCTCAATATATGTAGTGGGTGTGTATGATTAAGATAGGATTTGTCCTTCCTACATAATAGGAAATATATCACATGCCACTTGATTGAGTAAGACTACAAATGCATGGCCATGCTCTAATAAGTTGATATGAGATATCATAAACTATTCGTTAATTAAAGTCTACTCTAGATATCAAGAAACAATAGATGGGCTATACAAGTGTGACTAGTCTAAGACTTGTGCCTATTCTAGATATAAAGGACATAAGGATGTAATACATAAAAGAGTAATCACCAAGATGATATGTCGAATCATATTTTCTTGTAACTTGGGTGACAATGATATATTGCTAGATGTCACTCATTGTATGTAATATTAGAATTGTTCTAATAATTACTGCTAACGTTACAAGAACCTACAAGGTCACACCCTAGGATTGAAACGAGCAAAGATGTTAAATTTGTTGTACGTTACTAAAATATATGTTTTAATAATCCTGAATATTTAATTTCAATTAATTATTTAAATATATATTTAATTAATTTGAAATAATAAAATCCCCAATATGATTAGGGTAACTTGGATATAAGAGGATTATTAAATTCCAATTAATTAAATATAGATTTAATTAATTTGAAATAATAAAAACCCTAATATGATTAGGGTAACTTGGCTAAAAAAGGGTGTGTTAGGTCTAGCAGCCGTGTTTGTAACAAACATAAACCCTTTAGCCATTTTCTCTCAAAACAGTTTTGGGGAAAACAAATATTGCTCTCAATCGGGTGAACTGAGTAGAGGCTGAGACGTGATTTCTTTGAGGCTTTCGATTCGAATCGATCTACACCACCGTGTTCATTGCTGTTCTTGCTTTTTCAAGGAACCCACTGTAAGTATTTGCATCTCTTCCTCCCAATTTTGGTTTTTTACACTTGGATCGCTGGTGAGACCGTCGAGTTTTGTTTCCACTGCGCCATGGGGTACGCCGACGGTCCCAACAATGGTATCAGAGCCACTTGTACATATGGTTTTGGGTTAAATTTTTGGTTGATGCGATATGTATGAGATGCATGTTCTAGTTTTATCGATTTTGGTAAATATGTTGATATCATTGTTCGAATCAATACCCGCAATGATTAATATGCTAATTTGTTAATATGTTTTTTCAATCGATTTGTTACTAGATGATCTATGGGAGTGCGATAGCAGATCGCGTTTAGTAGTGGAACAATGGTTGTTCCGATGCAGAAAACCTTCGGGATTGAAAATCCTAAAAAAATGATTCTGTTGATAATTGTTATCAAATCGTGAAGTTTTTCCATGGAAACAGAAGTACAAATTGAAGGCCCATATTAATATTTTTTAACAAAGGCGTAACAACGTGTGTGTATATATATATGATATGTTTGTTTTGCACGGTGTTTGATATGCATGGTTATAGCCCTTGTTCAATTCACAATGGTTTATTTTGAAATATGGTCTGCGAGCCGTGCCTTTCTATATCTATGTTGTATTTCTTTTCTCATCTTACTCTCTCGTATGTAAAACGAGTTTCTTTTAAAATTGTAAATCTTTGAAGATTCACAAGGAGCAGAAGAATGGCAAGAAGATGCCTAGAGTGCAGTCTTAGGCTTTAGGGTTCTTGGTTCTCCCATTGGCTTGGGATGGGCCACCTTAGTAATTGGTTTGGGCTATAACCATTGCATCTTATTTATTGCTATATTTGTTATGTATGCAATGCATCAAATGATATAATAAGAATAAATATTGATGAGATCAATAAGGGCCTAATATTAAAACGAACAATGATGAAATAATTAAGCAAATCTCTCTTTAAAATCTAAGTTAACTTAACTGTCCAATATTTACCCTCGTTAAGGCTTTGATCGATATTGTGTGGGCTTTGCCAAAGCATTGGCACATAAATCTATCTTGGTTAAACGCGAAGAATAAGCAAGTGATATTCACCGGTTGAAATATTGGTAATAACTTAGCTAGGCTATTCTAATAGGATTAGAAACCTAGAGGTTAAATATTTGGATAAGTCATGAGATGACTTGAACAAAAGTTGTTCACCAAAGTTAGGAGTTACATGAGATGTAACTAGTCAAGTGTTACTTACCTAAATAATCACTATCCTAAAAGCCAAAGTTGATTTAGGAAATTGATGTATTATGGATCCTCACCCACTAGAAAATTTTCGTTGAATTTTTTTGAAATTAAAACAAAGAGGGTTTTTAATTTTGAATAAAATAGTGGGAGTAATTTGTAAATAAAGTCCTATTTATAAATTTTAATTTGGTAAATTTGCTTACTTTAATATTTACATTGTTGTAGATTTAATGGCAAACAACACTTTATCTACGATCACTCCTTGAGAAGGATAAACTTAATGGCATAAACTTCCTTGACTGGTTTCGCAATTTGAGAATTGTTCTCAAACAGGAAAGGAATGAATATGTCATTGAGGAACCTGTTCCAGATGAACCGGTAGCTAATGCTTCAAGAGCTGACAAAGACAAATTCAAGAAACATATGGATGATATGTTAGATGTTGGATGTCTAA